CACCGCCGCCTGGAGGGGGTTGGTGCAGGGCCCGGGGCCCGACCCTCTGCTCCGCTGCGTCCTGCGGGGAGGAAAGGCACCGTGTAACTGGAAAAATAATAGCCGCTCCTTTTCAAAAACTGACCGCGACGGTGGGGCGTGTGCAAAAGAACAGAAGATTGGTGTCCGAGACATACTTCATGTAAAATAACGACAAGGCAGCACCTAGAGAATCGGTTTTATTGGCTTACCATTTTACACGTGCCATAAGAGATTAAATACACCGTAAGATAGCACTGCATCTAGGAAAGTAACCTTGCATTACAACCATTCCGCAGCCCTTCTAGCCTATTACTTTTTTTTTTTTCTTGTCCATCTCTTAGAGCACAAACAACAGGAGTAGCGGGAATTAAGATCTGGACAGCATCCCCATATTCTTATTGCTCATTTAATTCCAGAGTGTTCCAATGAGTATCATTGTGGTTTTCCTAAAAGTTTTCTTCATCGAGCATTCTTATTGATGAAAAAATACATCACTATTGTCAGGTTCATCGTCGTCAGGCTCATCATCGTCAGGCTCCACGTCCAAAATAATTGCCACTTCTGAAAATTTTACTCCTTTCAGTCCTTTTTCAGGGGCAGGCGTTGTGGGATCAGGTGCTAAGGAAAGAGCTGACTCTTTATTTGTGTCTGTCAGAAAGCAATCCTGCAAGAAAACATAACGCAGATAAGGCAGAAAGCTACAAATGGTAGCGTGGGGACAAGTTCTAAAGAGTAGAAGTCATAGAACTTGTCTATATATCTTCTGTCTCTGAAGCTTGCAAAGAAAGCATTGTTTTTAAGGCTGCAAGTTTTAGGAGCAGCCCATGAGAACCCTTTACTGTACCCATTCTGTAAAAGATGGAAGAGAGTCATCATTTCTGGATCACAAAGTCCTTCTCCTCCTTCTAAGCAGGGACAAACAGCCCCTCCTCAAAGATTTTTTGTTACTTCACATAAGATTTTTTTTTTTTTTTTTTAGTTCAATCACCAGTTTACTTTTGATAATTCTTTCAGTTATTGGATGAATAATGATAAAATACCTTTCGCTCCATTTTTGCAGTTGAAAAGCTGATTACCTGTTTTGGTGTGAATTCTGCAGTGGGCTGGGCATCTCCATTTCGAGGTTCAATGGCTTTTTCAGAGGCTACCTTTTCGTCGTGTTCACTGTTGCAATCTAACAGCAGTGTCTCAAGGTATCTGCATGCTTCATGGTCCTGAGTTACGTCTTTGTCAGCATCACCTCCTTTGGTGTCTTCCATGTTGCTAAAGGCTATTGTTTCTGTTTTCCTGAAAGAGCGTTAAGAGAATTTGTAACACCTTGAGCTTGCAAATAGTTCAGCGACAAAAATCTTAGCCTCTGTCAAACCGAGAGCAGCACGTACACTGATCTCAAAATTCCTGGGATTTTTCCCAGGGAAATGTTCAGTAGCTTCTTGTATCCTGAAGGGGTTTTTGTGCATAAGGCCTAGCAATTTGCTAAAGAGTAAGTAGGAATTTGCCTTTGTAATTTTCGATACAAGATTAAAAGGTATTAGCTTCCTTCAAGCGTAGAGTTTTTAACTTAAAATTGTAAGGGTTCTTAAAAACCGACCTATCCACTAGTGAAAGATACAAAGAAAACCTCTGTTACCACAGTAAACTAGAACCACATCTTTTGACGTGCTATTTTTTATAAATTCGTGATCTCAGCGTTCTACTTACACATTATTCGTGTGCTCTAGTTTCTGTAGGCTTTTCAGACTTCCACTTCCGTCAATTGCACGTGGATTATCAATACCCTCTATAATTTCAGCTTGCTTCTTAACCAAATACTGTTGCGTATACTTTCTGAAAATAATACATACGTTAAAATAAAATCGTTAATTCTTTTTGAAGACTGGCTTTACAGTTGTTTTAAAAACAGAACATGAAGTATTTGTGTCATAAGTTTAATACACAACATTTATTTTCAGTGTTATTCTGGGGATTATTTTGAAGTATTTCCTATTTTTCTGCACAATTGTTAGACTACGTATTTAATGGTAACGGGGTAAATACCCACTCCCACTGTCCTCCTGCAAATTCATTCCTTTTCCTCAGCTATATGGTCCTGCTGCCACTGAAGTTAGCAGCAAAACGTCCCTCGATTTCAGCATTCGTGGGGTTAGAGGAGACTTCTGTGGGTATATTACAGCTTCTTGTGCCCCCCCGTCACAGTTAACGTTTCTGCTGCCCCCATGTCTCTGTTTTGAAAAGTGTTTGTTCCTGCTGTTGCTGTGTGACAAACACAAGAAGAAACCAACTGTCAGTTACGTGCACTGTGTCTAATAACTACAGTACAAGGCCAGGCATTTTGATTTATAGCAAATCTTAGGCAACACTCCATGCAAATATCGGTAATTTATCAGATAAGTATTTTTCAAGTTGACGTTTAAAGTAAACTTATTAGTTGTAAATCTAAATTACGTTGTTAAAGTAAAACGATTTGTACCTTTTCCTTTTTATAGTAAAAAGTACATATACCAGGAAGGCTACGAGGGTGCAGGCTAGCAGAACACTGAGCACGATCGTTGCAATGAGTTCAGGAGTTGCCGAGTCTGCAGGAGCCTCTTCTATGGCAACAGTAACAGCCGCTGAAAATATTTTCTCCAGTTCTGCCTCAATGCTACTCCCCTGCTCCCTAAGTTTTCTGAAGATAGAAAAGTAAAATGCCGATGATTTATCAGACCTTCATTTTGGCTTGAAGAGCAGTGAAGAAAACAACAGAATATCACTCCCCGGTTCACCAAGACCTTTTCTGAAGATTCAGGCTCGTCATGCCTTTCATTTGGGAAAAACTCCGTTTTCTAGCAACCAGCCCTGGTGCTTATGAACTAAAATGCTGCAAAGTTCAGAAAATGGACCTTGAGAGGTCAGTATCCTCTGAATCCACATCAAGGCAGCTGCATATTGTCTTACAGAGACCAAGAGCGCTTTCCTCAGAGAAAAAGGTTCATCCATGGAGACTGCTTTCCTAGGACCACAGGCTCCGTTAGTAACATCAGCCACAAACAATTACTGGTTTAGAGAGAGGTGTCGGGTCTAGAAATCGCGTCCTTAAATAGCAGCTGCCCTTCACAGAATGTAAATGTACATTTTGCAAATGTAAAATCCACCTAAAATGTACGATTTTAACCAACATTTTGCCGTTCTGAAGCGGTCGATATCTATTTTAACGATATTCTTTCTGCTTCAGCTGTCTTTAAAACTGACTTTTAAATATATTTTGCACAATTAAACAGCCTTATTCATGTTTTTGACAAACTCTGAAAATTACCTTTCAGTAAATAATGAAAGCTTTCTGAATTCTAAAAATTCCATGTAAGCCTCGAGATGAGTCTCAGATAAACTGTTACTTGATCTAAACCCTGTCCAGTCCAAGACATTAATAATTTGAAGAGAAACAAAACCTAGCTGCATAGCCCTGACACCCAGAAGACAGACTGTGCCGTACGGACCTTTTTACGTCTTCTGCAGATACTTCCTGGTTTGCCTTATCAAAAGCAGTAATTTTTACGCAGGTTACATCCGTGCTGCTTCTTGCTTTTCTTTCAGACTCATTGGAATAAACATCAATGATGTATACGTTCCATGCAAGTTTATCTTCCAGGACCCTGCCATCAGATTAAGAAAGCGTTTTAAATTAACTGGGTAATAACAAATTCTTTTACTCTGGAAATTAAATGATAGAAAAGTAGTATTTAATACAACACTTTGCAGATATTTAGTATTTTAATCTAAGCGTGTAAAAACGCAGGATTATCATCAGCAAAGGAATTAAGCAAATTTGCCCGATATCGCTGAGTGATTGAGTAGCAGAGGAAAAAAAAAAAAAACCACCCAGTCCTTGTCTCTGACTGGTAAGCAAAGATACTTTTCGTTAGTAGATGCTATACAACTTTTGTCATAGCCTGAAAATTCTTAGATAGGTGCCATTAGCATAACTGAACAATTCATTTGAGAAAGGAAAGGTTAGCAAACCCTTAATACCTAGATTTCATAACCAGTACTGCATAGTACATCATCTATTTAGTCATGTTTTTCAAAGCGACATATGGCTCATTTCATGCTTGGCATTATTTTTTATAAATACAGGCAGTGATACCTATAGAGTATTATAAACAGTAAAGGCGGGGAGGAGGGAAATTCAGTCTCATAATCCTCATCGTTTTCTCCTCCTTTTCCACCGAGGGATTTTCAGGCTGGATCAGACCACTGGCCCAGTTCATCCATCAGCGTGACAGCAGTCAGTACCAGCTGCTTCAAAGAAAGCGGCAGAGCAGCTCCAGGGTTCCCATTCCGTTTTTACCAACAAGAAACTGGTGCCATGATAGCGTCAACATCACAAACTCATTTTTCCATCCTTCAAAGTGATTTCCCCTCAAAAGCACAGGACTCGATATTTCCAATGTAAATATATGGTTATGTATAATCAAACAAAAGATCTTGTGTCTTCATTAATGTGCCAAAAAGGCCAAAATATGATTTCAATTGTAGCGTGGCCATCCCCACGTCACCAGCTAATCCCCTAGCACCGTAGGGCTGAGACCTCCTCGAGAAGCTCTGCTGCCGTGCTACAAGGGGGGTTTTTCATTTGCCGCAAAGGTGGGTTTGGTTCATAGCTTCTATCCTGCCTGTCTCCACATTTATATCTTGAGCCTACGACCCATGAAAAACTTTATCCTAGGCTGTTAAAAATCACGGAAACATCGAGGTGGGGAGAGACCTCTCGAAATCGTCTCGTCCAATGACCTCTTTGACATTTGTCAGCTCAGGCCAAAGCCTGACCAGATAAAAAGTGGTGGATCCCTGTGAATTCCCTCAAATTATTCTGAACTACGTCAAGTTGAAGGCCTAGCTTTTCATGGGCACTGGCTGTATCATCTCCCCTGTAGGCTGTCACACCCCTATCTCAAAGGCACTCTAAATTTGTCATTAGATATTATATCAGAATAAGCTTCACGGTTTCAAAAATACCTTTTTACTCCAGGAATGTTTCTGTCAACTACGTTGATCTTCTGATTAAGTCCCACCACCACAATGTTGTTACTGGAACTGGAATCAACGGTTACCTAATAAAAAATAAATCACATGTAAGGTTTTCGAAAGCATTTGTACCTCTCGTAGATTGACTTTCAAAAAAAAAAAAACCAAACCAAAACACCTCTGATACAAAACAATTGTCCTCTAAAAGTCAGTCTTCATGCCAACGTATTTTTGTATGCCCATGAAAGTGGCAGCCTCTTAATTCTGCCCTGAAAGTACGTAGTAAATCCTGGCGTATCTGACAGTCTCACTGTATGGTGTTAAGTAATTGTTTTGTCGTTACCAAACCCAGCCCTTCTTGTACACAGAGTTTTGACACGGAAGCAAATCAGGACTATAAATAGCAATCTTCCTTACGTTGACTGTTGTCCGGGCCGTGAGTCTTCTTGTGCCTTGGTCTGCAGCTTGGACTTCCAGTAAAAATGTTCCAGTCTTTTCTGCTACAGCAACTGTAAAAATCTGCCCTGTGTTTTCATCGATGTCAAATTCGTTCATTTGATTATTCGCTAAGCTGTACAGCAAAAGTCCGTTGTCTCCTGAATCTGGATCTGTGGCCTGGGTTTAAAAAAAGGTGATTTGTGAAACTCAGCTCGTAGCTTTTGGGCTGCACGCTGCTCTTCTATCATAAAACTCTGCAGTTTCTGTTTGTAAGACGGGAGTATTCTAGGATAGCGCTGTCATATTTTCCTCTTTGCCCTAAACAAAGCGGCGCACAAACTATCAGAATCGGACCGAGGGTATAAAGGGGGAAACAGGTTTACCGCGAAGTCTGGAGGGTTCTACAGCTGTAAGCATAAAAGGAGCAGGCTAGGACTGAGGGATAAGGCCAGGCTTCGAAAAAGATGAGAACCGCTCCATTTTGCAATTCATTTCCCATTTGGGTCCGATAGGTAGCAAAGCGGTTACCGGTGCCAAAGAGAGAACGGTAGTCTGTGCAGTATGGAATCCATAACAGCAGCATGAGTCAGAACAGACTGTATAGCTCTTCTGACAGACCCACTGGTAGGCCAGGTATGGACCAGTTCCCTGAACACCCCGTCCTCCAGCAGCGTTACGTTAAACCTGGATGGTGGGCAGAATCTGCCTCAAGCTCTCAAGAGCAGATTTAACAGCTCCTTTAACCCAGTTTAACGGTGGAAGAAATCCAAATCTTTCAAAAGATTTCCGTCCTCATGACGAGCACAGGAAGATACTCTACCTGAACTGTAATTACCGGGTACTTGTACAGCACGGAGTTTGGTATCCGAGCAGAGTAGGCATCACTCAAAAATGCTGGCTCTTCATTTACATCCTGCACCGAGATTGTCAGCATCGCCACGTTCTGAGCAAACAGACCTATTAAACAAACACAAGTTAACTGCAACAACGAACACCAGCAAAGCGCAGCTTCCAAAGGCCGGGTCAGGCTGTGGCTTTGCAGCAGGAGCTCTGCTGCAGGCGAGGAAGAGGGAGAAGAAAGGGAAGGCAGCAGCGATGTGCCCAGAAGAGCTCTGCCTCACTTAGAGCTGTCAAAGAGAATCGTGATTCCTATATTGGGTTGCAAATACAGAAGATGGGTTCATTGCCCCCAATGTAAGTTGGAACGTCCTTCAAATCAAAAAGTTACCTGAACGCTGGACTTTGGCAGCAGATGAGAGATTTTCCTTTGCTTCAATTAAAATCACATACTGAGAAGCTTCCTCATAGTTCAAATTAATTGCTGTTCTCAGCTGACCACTTTTTGGATCCAATCTAAAGTGACCTGAAAGGAAAAACATGCACCTTCATTGTTATAGCTACCATTTCACTTGTGTCCCTCCTACCTCTTGTGCCTTTGTTGCTCTTTGGATACTTCCATGGGCCCTCTGCTCTTAAGAATGTGAAATGCAACACTTCCACTGGCCAAGCAGCAAAGGCATCACGGCTGGGGTCCTGTCCCAGACCAAACAGGCCTTAAACATGTAAAGGAGCAACAGACTTGGAAAACAGAATTGCAGCCTCTTGTTGCACAACTCCTTTTTCACCGATTTCTAAGTTTTCTATCGGTTCCTAATTATTTCCTTTTTTTGTATGCAAATGGAGTCGCATCACGGCTGCAAAAGCTGAAGGAGGCTAGATGCCCCAACATAGGTGCAAGTGCAAGGAAATGATAGACTAAAAGGGATTGGCAGGCAGGAAGCTGCTTGCTAACAACTTCTATTTTGGCTCCCTCAGCCTGCAAATTATCCTAACTTAAGACTATAGGAACCCATTTTCTGGCAAGTTACCACCACCTCCTTAGCCAAAGAAGATTAACAAAGTCCACGCTGAAGAGCTCTGAAAGAAATTCTTTGTGTACTTTCGTTTTTAAAAAAAAATGACACGAGTTTTAATCCTTGCTCTCCATCTCCTCGTTTACATACAGCAACATCTGCCACACAAAAGACAGGTTATTCTGTTATCTCAGCTATTTTAACTCATAAGGGAAATACTACTCACCTTTTTCATTGCCAGATACAACCGTATAATCAATCGATTTTCCTGAAGTTTCAACCACAGTAAAAGCGTAAATGAAATAATCCACTCCTGTGTTTTCCAAAACGGAAATGCTAATATAGAAAATAAATGATAAATCATAACGTTACATTTGCCAGCAGTTGTTGCACTGGCAGGCTTTGAAATTTAACCCTTTAAGAGCGAGTTCTCTGTGGAAAACCTTGCCCCCTCCCCTCTAGTTGTTTGCTAGAGCTCCCTGACAACCAGAGTGCAGCGCAAGCCCTACTTTTCTAGCCAGACATTTGTTTATCCTTGAGTAAGAGCTAAGGAAGAATGTTTTACTAGCGTGCAAGAGGAAAGGGACAAAGAGTCTGGCGTATACAAGCTGCACGATAAAGAAATAAAAGGCGATGCCTCGCGTCACGTTCACAGAACCACCGACATAGCAGAATTTCCTGGACATTTTGTGTAAAAAAACCTGATGTCCTTGCTTCAGCAGGGAAGAATACGAAAACTAGCTTCAACCTTCAACTTCACTATGTTTTCCGCTACCTGGAGAATATGTACCAGTTATAGAACTTGATATGAAAGCCTCACCTGATTTCGCTCTCGTTAAACCGAGGGACAAACGGACGGTTGTCAAACACATTAAGAGTTATCACAGCAGTGTTATTTAAAGATGGAGAGCCTTTGTCCTTAGCCATCACTGTTAAATGGATCTCTCCAGATCGAGACAGGTTTCCAGTTGTAATTATTTTCCCCTCGCTGGTATCTTCTATCAGGAAGAACGGGCTGGAGTCTGGGTCAGGGAGGATGTAGTACTCAATAAGGCCGTTTTGCCCCTGCCGTGAAAGGAGCACAACTTCACGTAACTATTGCTTGCAGGACCGCCTTATTTCAGTGCCCCAGGTCCCACGGGACAGACTCACTGGAATCTCAGTATTGCCACGCTTAAATGGACAGAATGCCGGAGGCATTTTAAATAACTGGAGAGAACCAGGCTCAGAGCTACTTTGGGCTTAAGCTGTAACACAAGAGCAGCAGCAGGGGAAAGGGCCAATGGGCAGAGCCTCCCACCCCCCCAGATGCATTTTGATGTTCCAGGATCCCAAAAAATTCCCATAGCAATACTGAAGAAAACTACATGCACTGGGAGTACGTCTTGAAGGGTAGGATAAACACTGAAACAAGAGATGTGACAATGTCTAAATGTCTCTGGTGAACTTATTTAGAGAATGAAAACTTGGGATTAGCTATGGTAGGATGGGTGCCAATAAAAACACGAAGTGGAAGAAAATTCACAAGCGGTTGGCCAGTTCCATAGCAAAAATGTGAAAAGGGGTCTCTAAAGAAAATAAGTTGAAGGCAGATGTAGAGGGGGACAGTCGGAGTAGTGAGAGAGAGTCACGTAAAGGTGTGATGTCAAGGAGAATAAGCCAAAGTCCCTTGGATCCTTTTCACATTGTGAGGAGCAGCACAGCCTCCCCACTGCTACGAGGGTAAGCCCTGTCCCTGCCTGCCCCAGGAGAGCTGGACACGTTTTACTCTACGCACATCACTTCACTTTCCTGAGACAAGCCATTTTGACAAACCCTTCGGGTTTGCTCTATTGCGTTTCGCACTGTATTTCTGAAAAGCATTGTATTCTGTTCTTCCATGGCTCGGCAGCAGCAGGACCAAACCCTGCCCTGAACATCTGTTGTCACTAAGTAATCTGTGGATTCATAATTATTTCAGGAACAGGGAGGAATAGAGACAAAGTCTAATAATTTCAGTGCTGGGCTCTGCCCCAGAATCCTGAAAGGGTGGCACAGGGGGGATGAGTGCCACTCTGCGTGGCAGAGGACCAGACATTATCTGAAGGATGAGTTTCATTAGGGTCTCAATGCGGATCTCTCAGGCTCCAGCAACTTCCATACGCAATTTCACTTTTTATATAAAAACCTTGCGAAGGATGATAAAAAAGGGGCCATTAGATTATTTACAGCAATATACCACAGCTGCAGCTATTTTAACCAAAATTATGCGTGAAGAAATAGGAAGGCACCTGCTACACCTATTTTGTTGTCACTTCTAGATGTTTCAGCTTTTAAATGGTATAATTAGTGGTGATGTTGTCATGGTGATCTGGTTGACTACTGGGTATCTCTGCCAGTGCCTGGATACCACTTGATGGGTGCAATACAGATATATCAAACAAAATTACTTTAAAAAATAGGGACAGAGAGAATTAGCTGGGGTACCACACTTCAGAGGCGCTGGGTAAGCAGACATTTCCATGTTCAAGCCAGCTATACGATGTTTAGCTTTTACAGATTCTTCTACTTCAGAAGTTCAAATAACTTCACAGACACTAAATTGCTTCAGTCCTTGTATACTTCACCGGTACAACTCCGTATAATAAGGGGAAAAATTAAGGCAAATATAGCTGAAGAAACATGCCCAAAGACAGGGAGTACATCACTGTCAAGGCAGAACCATCAAAAGTCCTAATTTCCAATTCCCAGTGCTGTTAGGCAATCAGAATTCACTTTCTGCTACGTTTGGTATTTCATGCCTAGAGAACAGAGGAAAATATATTCGGGCCGCAGCTTAAAGCAGTGTCAAAATCAAACAGGAGTCGTTACCTGATCTTTGTCGGTAGCGCTCACAGTTATGACATGAGCACCTACAGGATTAATCATGTTTATAGAAGCTGAATAGGAATTCTGAGCAAATACCGGAGCATTATCATTCACATCAATCACTAGAACAGTGACATGAGTAGTTGCCTAGAAAACAAAATGGTTTCGTGCGTTTTAGAATATTCAGAATGTCTTATTTAGCGATATTTTTTTGTTATTTGCATATGCAATAAAAAGTATAAATTAGACTTTGAAAAGGCTGTAGTAAAGTATTGCGTTTGGTTTAATTTTGTGAACTCGACATCAAAGATCACTACAGGATTTTTACACGAGAGAGGCAGGAATTCAATGTTGCAGTAGGATTCAACTTCTTGAAAGGCATCTGAATGAGTAAGAACGGGATGTGTTTAGGAGGCCAACATGTCCTGCTGCTGCCGCTAGATGCGGTTAAGGGAACCACACATGTTCTGGTTCTGTTAAATAAGCGTGTAATATCTTTTCAAATAAAAGAAATACTGTGGAACTAGAACAATTTGCTGAAAATTACTTTTTCTCCCATGAAAAATTATCACGGCACTTACAGTACTAACAGCAGCAGCCAAGAATTCCAGTTCCCCAGCGCAGGTTAGCCTGCAAACAGTTCAGGGTCAAATTCTACCATGCACGATTATGAAGTATTTCAACTAATTATGGAGTATTAATACTACTCAGCATGGACAAAGGTCGCAAAAGTCTGACCCTAAACATGATTAGGTGACTAATTTATTCTGTGCAACAAATGTCTTTGCTAGCTCTCCCTCCCACTAGTTCAAAATCCACCCTGAATAGAAGAGTCACTGCTCATTACAATAATGGTCCGTTACCTGATGGAAAGGGGCAGATTTATTGTTGACCGCGTTCACTGTAAGGCTGTATTTATTCGTGGTTTCGTAGTCTGGAGAGTTCTTTATCTTAATGTTGCCATGTATTTCATCTATTTCAAATATATTTCCTCCACCACCTGAGATACATTTAAAGAAGCATTATCAATGAATACACCACATAATTAACTACACTCTTAAATTGTATGTTTACTTGTGTCTTGAGCTCATTAAAACAATTTTTTTAAATATCATGTAGATAACGTAGAAGAAAAACAGAAAATATTTTGAGTGGATGAGTGTTTGAAGTGTGAGCCAAGAGAACGGGTTAACAAGTTTTGCAGATACATCTGTCACAGTCAAAAAGCGATAGTGCTTGAGGCACGCAAATGATGATGGACAGCACATTGGAATTCTGGGGTGAATCTCTGGAAGCAAGTTCCTCCAAGCCCGTGCAACTCTTAGAGGAGATCAGAGGTGTTCCCAGGCACTTTTACAGTCCTCTGACCTTCTGTATGTTGGGTCTCATGTTTGCTGGTTGCAACAGTCATGAAGCACTGTAACAAGACAGTGCTCCTGCCAAGATCTTTAAGAGATGTCACTGAATTTGTTCTGTCTCTAATGAAAGTGGACTGAGCGGCACACACATCTAAAGAGAAAGGCCTTTGACTGCCAAAAGACCTGGCAGTGACTTTTACTGGTTTTGGCCACCCTTGTCCAAAGCCACCTCAAAGTCTGTACGCATATTGGAAAGAAAAGACTCTAAAAACATATAAACCGTATATACATCGCTCTTGATGGTCCATACAACAAAAACAACTATTTCAACTCCTGCAGGCTTTGGTCCAGAGGGTTCTAAATCTCCATCTCTGTCAGTGGCAGTGGCAAAAGGGGCGCTTTTCCCAACTGTAATGCCATCAGCTACCCCAGTTAAATGTGACAGGGAGCACGAATCAGAGCTCTCAGTCACTGCAGTTCACAAGCTGGCACATTAATGTAAAATGAAATTGAAGGCACTTTATATTAATAGCCTGGGCAGAGATCTGAGGTAGCAGAGTAAGTGACCTATTGTCTGTTGTGGCACTTCTGCTGCAGAGGTAAAGGTGTCCAGAACAAGGGTAAAGACGACAGCCCTCCAACAGCCCTTGATAGTCAGTCAGGTCCCTGACATGCTGGTGATACCATTTACACCTGCTTCTAGTAGCTGTGAAATGCTGGCAGTCCACAGGCTGAGAAGAGGCTTAATTTAGCAGCGTTTAATACCTGGTGCAGGCACAATGGGTTCTACAAGGCAGGGACGAATCAGGCCCTAGAGCCTTATTCCTCATTCAAGAAAGCTATGGGCATTTTTTTCATCAAAATTACTCCTGCTGATTGCAGCTACAGCAGTCGAGTAGCTAAAGATTTCTTTAAAAGTCAATTTTTAACAGAATTAAGAGTATGATTAAAATCATAACAATTTGTAGTTTCGGCAAAAGAAGTTCCTACTCAATCAGTCTGAAAGCTGTATGAGCATAAATTAGTAAAATACCAAACCAGGTGAAAGCGAACCTTCTTGGCTCGTGCGGAAAGGGGTTAGGAGATAACACACGTAATGCTATTTATGCTCGCAACAGTACAGATGACAAAGTGACAGTTGTTCCAGTGCGGTGAGAGAATTCCGTGTTACCTGTAAGGCTATAGAGAACAAAGGCGTTGTCTCCTGTGTCTCTGTCTGTTGCTGTGATTTTTCCGACTATTAATCCCACAGGCGCATTTTCATTTACACTGAATTCAGTCACTGGATCAAAGACAGGTGGCCAGTCATTAACATCAACGATCTTTATGACAACTGTGCAGTACCCTCTTTTCTTCTCAGGGATTCCGTCATCTTCAGCATATATCACAACCTGTAAGTTGCACAATTATTGGTAACGAGAAATCATATAAATAGGTACTTGCGTAAGGAATAAAAAAACTGGGTGAATTTTAAACTTTGGAGTATTCTTAGAAATGTAAGCTCAAATTCTGAGTCCACCTCAAAATGATTATTGAAACTTAAGGACTATTTGGTCAATAAAAAAGTCTTTCTATAAAGAACCAACAAATTCACCAATATTTTTGCTTGAAGCAAAATAAGGTCATAAAAATACCCAGCAGTGGCAGCCACAATAAAGAAGATTAACTGAGAATCGTATCTGCAAGATCTCAGTCTGGTACAGATTCAAGCAAACAGACAACACTGAATGCATGAGCTGTCATCTTGCAGTTAGTTATGCATGCACTGATGTGTTTGAGCGTTTGTAGGACAGGTGAACAATGAGCCTGGCTTGAATTTCATTATACTCCAAAGGCAGTGTCTTGCTTTAAGAATGCATCACATCTTGAGATGCTCATATTCTAAACAACACATAAAATGTTCAAGCAATATCAAGCTAAACAAAACCAAAAGCGTCACCTGTTTTCCGAGAGGAAGATAAAGAGTTCCGAATAATGAAAAGACTTAAGAAATCTGAAGCAAACCTGATACTCTGTAGGTTCCTCTTCATAATCAAAGGAGGCATTGGAATAAAGAATTCCAGTCGCTGCATCTATCCTGAATTTTAGTCCGCCTCCACTGAGAATGCCGTATGTTAGGAAACCATTTCTACCTGTATCACTGTCCTGAGCTTTCAGCTGGACGATCTGAGTAGCGGGTAAATTCTGCGGATGAAGAACAGATTGAGGCTGTCAGAGACTTCAGTTAGCTGCTATTTCTTTATGTGAAAGGGGGAAAGTAACAGATACCACACGCATTTACAATAGTATAGACATCTTAAAAATCACAATTATACAACTCGTCCAGCACAGTAAGAGAATCTCTTGTTTTCTCTAATTTACAGAAAAGAACTATTTCCCCCCATGTCTCTACCTACAGCAGCAATCTTCAGGAAGAAAAATCACCATGGTTTCAAACAGGCCGAATGTTAACCTCAAGCATCTGACTTGCTGTTGAGGAATTAATTATTCATGTTTAATAGCCTCTACTCCTATGAAACTCAATGGATGTTCTCAACTTCAAAATCATGTTTCTTTCTGAACACTATTTGGCTAAGAATTACTCTTTTCAAAAGAAATAATCTGTTTCTTCCTCTTAAAAATGTTATTTGCATTAAGATTGACAGTAAATATCAGTGTTTCACTTGCACAGCCATTTGAGACCTGATCTAAAGTTATTTGATCCAACAGGGCATCCAGCAATCCCTCCTGTTTAAATATTTCACTTGGAAATCAATTTTTAAAGGTTGGGAAATGTGATTCTAACTCTTCTCCGTTAAACTAACTGGAAACATTAAAAATAGGTATGATAATTAAACCTACATTTAGCTCAATGATAGAAATGGACTAGATGTGAAATCAGCTGTGGCTGTTAAAGAGAACGTGTATGAATCAGCTGGTAATCTCAAAGGCAAGGTACATGCTATATAAAATAGAAACACTATCAGTGCGCTGCTTTTTAAAAACACAGCTAGCAGATTAAAGCGTGAAAAGTGTCGTTTGAGAATCGAAGAGTGAAACGTTGAGCTAGATGCTTTTGCATAATTAAATGCTGTAGCTTCCTTTGCAGGCTATCATAACATAACAGCCACAGACTGAAATTTGGCTTGTTAGTGTCAGGAAGAATCACAACAGATCGTACATGTACAAGAGGAGAAACGTTGCTAAATTAGAGACTTTTGCCTGCTACTTCTCTGTACGAAGTTCCATTACAAAAGGCTGAGAGAGTCTATAAGGTGCCCAGCACATCCACTAGATTGTGAATGCACATGAATATTCTCTGTGCATAAATACGCAAGATGGAGTGGCTGTTTTTCCTTTGTGGAGCCCCTTATTAGTAAACAATTCACTTTTCCTTCAATATGTCACACTTCTAGGCCATTCTCTGTATGTATGGGAATTTTCAGCTTCAGATAAACCTTAAAACATCATGTGGCAAAACAGAATGGTAAGCCTGTCCAGTTCCAGGATGTTTACTTGTATACTCACCAAAAGATTTTTTTATTATTATTTTGAGCGTTTATTTTTTGTGATTCAGTTTGGATGACATTTTCTTACCTCTTCCAATGTTGCTTCTAGCAGAGGAGATGGGAAAACTGGAGGGAAATCATTTTCGTCAATAACTTCCACATTCACAGAAGCTTCATTAAATATGCTAGGATTAGATGAATCTGTGGCACGCACGTTGAAAATGACTGGAAAATCCTCCAGTTTCAAATTCTTTCTTGTTCTTACAATACCAGTGGATGAATCAATAACGAAATACCCTGTTAAAAAAAGCAGAAGTTATTCTGTTTATTATTTTATTGGTTAAAACTGAAGACATGAGCCCTTCAATGCAAATTACACATTGTATATATCGTATGTTACAGTATTCTTCGAAGAACAAAATAAAATTCAACATGGATTCACGAGAATGTCAGATGCATCCAGGGCTGTAATTAACAAAAATAATTCAGAAGGTCAGATGGGAACCAAAGGGGAGAAGTTCACCCCACCACTCTCCAGTCAGAAGGCCTTCACCTTCCTCCGAAACAGTCAGAGATTATTTGTCCCTGTTTCAGTTAGAAATCATTTTATTTCCTATGAAGTCCTATTCTTACTGCAGATGAGGAATTCTGCAAATAACTTCAAGGAGACCACAACTTCATACAAAACATTTTACAAAAAAAGAAATATAAAGTGGCTATGTTCAATGATACAATAAAATCAGCTCTATGTTTAGTGAAAAAAGACACGTGAAAAAGCACTGATCCAGTTGATCCCATGTAAACTTACTCCACGCGTGTGTTAAGAAAGCGTTGCTGAGTTAGTTTTTCTACCAGCAGTCTTTATGCTGAATTAGGTATTTTTTCCCCAGTCACTGTAACTTTATGCCTGATCAGGTACCACCTGATCTTCCTGTAGCAGACATAAAAAGAGCACACAGCTTGTGCAGTCAGCTCTGTATCACGTGGCTCTAGCTAATCTGACAGAAATTCAATCATCTGCCCACACCTGATCCGCGTTACATTTGTACATGTGGTTGATACACATCCAGTATTAATGGCTGTAGAACTCAGATAAAAGCAAAAGGAGAGGGAGAAGAAACAATCCAAAAGTTAAGTGCTCTGCAGCGCTAGTTGTTTCACACGCCCTCTTCCTTGTTATTTCACATAAAGAGCTTACCCTTCTCATCTCCGAGTACAATAGTGTATATCACAGGGACCTTATACAACACACTGATCTGTACAACAAACGTATCAGGCAGCGTCTTCTCACTCAGAGGGGCAGGCTGATAGACTGCTTCAGAGAACACCGGGAATGAAATGTTGATGGGAGCTATCGTTATTGACACCTGCACAGAAAGGGAGATGAGTACAGGGGTTATGTTTTCAGGTTTAGCAGACTTTTCTATTCACGCATGCAACAGCAGAAGTCCAGAACTTTGTCGGTAAGAAAAAGCCTATGATGGCTGCATGCTGAGTTTGACACATTAGCGCCTTGAAGGCAGCGAAGGTTAGTGAAAAATGCCAGCAACCTCATCAATTTAGGTTCACCTGTATGCTTTCCTAAATATAGAGAGGGATTCCAGTTCATCGCGTACAGCACATTTCAAATGACTTGTCTAGCTAAACAGCTCTCAGAGAGAGGTACTGATCTGTATTTGCAACACATTCTTCCACTGAAGAATGTGTGACCAGAGCAGGAGCTTGTAGAGTACAGTATTTTAAAATTATTATAACTCACTTTATACGTGAAAAATGGTGGCAGGCGGTAAATAAATAATGCCTACTGCTTCACAAAAATAAAGATAATTTATTTCTAAACGATGCCAGACAGCTGCCGTCCAACGCTCTGAAGAATGATAGCTCATAAGTCTACATTTTAAGGTTCTGTTGAATATAATTTTCTACATGTCTTTATCCATATACATTTCTAGTCCTTTTTTGAATTCTGCTAAGCTGTGATATTTAGTGGCAAAAGATCACCAGCCAGCTATAAGCACTGTGAAAAAAAAATACTTCTTTTATCATAGTTAAATGTTTCGCTCTTCAATTTAGAATTTATTTTTTCTTGCGTTATAGGAAAATAAACACCTTATTCGCTGTCTCCTGTTTATTCTATCACATACTTCCATTACATCCCCTCTGACTCTCCCACTCTTTGACCTTGCACAGAATTCTCCTCTAATCTTCCCCCCCCTCACAGTTTAGAGCTTCCGTCTTTCTTTTCTGAAATGGAATGATCAAAACAATGACGGGTGGTGTGCCAGCAATTGCTATAGCAGCATAACTTTCTAACTGTTGTCATCTTGTATCCTGTTCCTGAAACAGAAGTGGGACTCTGACATTCTGATTCCTGATTTGCATACCTTTGCTTCACTAATACCCATTTCCTGGTGTAGTTACACTCAGTTTAGAATAAAACAATCTGGGGAATAAACTGCGCAAGTAGACGCTAAAGTAAAAATTTTAGTACCTTTACAGAACTTGAAAGAGGCGGCAGACCTGAATCCGTAGCAGTGACCATCAAGGAGTAATAGAGGGGAACAGCCTGTTTGGATAAGTCTCTTGTTAACCTGAGTTCTCCTGTGGTACTGGAAAGACTAAAGAGGCCTTCTGAGTTTCCACCTGAAGAGACAAAAACAAGTGTTGGAGATGTTCAACGGAGCCGGCAGAGACAAGCAACTAAATTATATGCCCAGGATTTAAGAGACATGGGTTGAAGTCCTAATATGTCTATGTGGTTTGGAGCAAGACACCTGGCCTCTCTTGAGTCTGCATCTGCATCACAGAATCATTTGGGCTGGAAGGGCCCTTGTGAGGCCGCCAGTCCAACCTCTTGGCTCAAAGCAGGGTCATGAATGAATTCAAAGCAGGTTGCTCAGGGATTTGATCTGTCAGGTGCTGAAACTCTCCAAGGACAGCCTCTCTGGGCAACCTGTTCCAGTAATTAGTTCTCCTCACAGAGGACTTTTTTCCCCCCTTACAGCCAAGTCAGAACCTGCCATTTCAATTTATGACCATTATCTCTTATTCTCCTCTCATGCAGCTTAGTTTAGCAGTACGCAAGTACCCCAGTAATAAACGCCCCTAAGATTTCTTTCTAACATACCTGAAATATTGTAGAAAATGCCTTCATCATAACCCTTGCTTTCATCTCTTGCATTGATATCTACCACCGGTGTGCCAGCTGTAGAATTGTCTAGAAGGATGTGGTAATATGAGGGCTTGTCGAATATGGGTCCTTCTTCATTAACATCTTCCACGGTAACTAAGAAAAGAAGGCCCACGTCCGAGCGTAAACATGAGTTTCACCTAAATGGTTACAGGCTATTTCTTCAGTAATATAAACCAGCACAGCTCCTCTGAACTGAGTTGGAGCTCTTTCAATTTAAACCAGATGGCAACCTTGTTTTCTGTACTTCAAAATGCTTGCCTTTGTGGATTAAATTATTTACTGCTCAAGCAATAGCTTCCCACAACGGCTGCACTTCTGGCTAGCATGCTGTCACTATGATCTGTCATGAATCATATCATCCTATTGCTTCCTTGGGCTCCCTTCTGCGTCCATCTTCATCTGGTATCTCTAGTCTTTGGCTTAGGTTGCAAGCGTTGTGAGGCAGGATTGCTTAGTTTTATATTTGTACGTGACCTGGCACAATAGGGTCATGGTCCGCAATTGGTGAAGCTGGCAATACAGTAACATCAATAACACAGAACAAGAAGTAATAAATAAACCAATGCTTCCAGTCATATTGATCGAAAGTAGGACCAGCCAAAAACTAGGATACCAACTTCACAGATATCTTCTATGTTGTGTTGGGAAAAAAGATAGAATTTTTTTTTTCTTAAGGAAAAAAAAACAACAGCAATCAAGTACTGTTATCTTAACAACACTAAAAATCATCGTCAACATTTTTTTACCACCCTAGAAGCAAGCTTTCTGTAAACAAGCAGGAAAAGAACTGAATTATGTTTTTGGAATCCTTTTCAATCAAAATGCCAATAGGTACTCAAAAAACGCCATAGAAGAATTTGTGAATACATTGAAGTAAATAACGTCAGTTTGCGTGAAAAATCTTCATTTTTGGCAAGCCAAACATTTTTTAAGAAAAATTTCATCTGGCTATAGTGAAAAGGTCACATCATCATTTCTGATAATTTAATTTAGCAGCCTGTATTACTATTGAAGGCTATCTTTCTGCCTCATAATTACACATGCTGAAATATTCCTTAAGGGAAGTGAAGGTAAATTTTCTGTGGTAAACCAGAGCTACCTGTAATGTTTGCTGTGTCCTGGAGATTTGGCTCGCCAGGATTGAAAGCTTGCAGAATAAATGTATACTGGGAACGACTTTCATAGTCCAGAGGTTGAAGAGTTGCAATATTTCCAGAAAGTTCTCCAACATGAAATGAAGAAGTCTCTCCAATTATGGTGTAATGAATAATGGCATTGTACCCTGTATCTTCATCTGCGGCTGCTGCACTCAAAATCTAAATAAGGAGGGGGAAAAAAGAACCAAAACAAAAAACCAAACCAAACCAAAACAAACAAACAAAAAACCAAACCACCAGGTTTAATGCAGAACAAAGAGAGTGGCAAAACATAAACACAAGACTGGTATTTAACTATATAGCGTTTAATGACTGAATTACTCATATGGCTATTAATTGCATTGCTGGAATATTGCCACGGCATATAGCAGGGCTGGTAAGAGATGTGGTAGATTCTTCGGTGGTACCTCTTCCCTTGATTCCTGTAAACCATTAGTTTACATCTGCAAGGCAGATATGGAGCCAGAAATGGATACACGGGAAGAAGACAGAAAACCTTAAGAACAGGGGGATGCTGGATATATGCACACCACCTACAGCCTCTTTAAAACACGCTGCCCGTAGGACCTGCGAAAACTAGATCCATGCAGTGTGGCATCACTGCTAGGGACAGGAGGGAAAGGAAGAGCGGCACAAAGAGAGCTTCAGGAATAGAGTCAGCGGGATAGGCACTCCAGCATCTTAGAAAATGAAAACGCTGTGCGATTTTACAGACTCCGCAAAGTAAAAAAAGTACGTTCACCAATGCACAGTCGTCATAGATGACTACCCCTTCCAAGTTCAAACAAAGAAAACAACTGCAGAACAGCCTACTTATTCTTAATGCCACATACCACATGCGGAGGCTCATTCTCTTTTACAGTCACGGAGTATGATTTCTGTGGGAACACTGGGGGGTTGTCATTCACATCTTCTACAGTGATGCTTAGAAATAAGCTTGCAGATAGCACCGGTGTGCCAGAATCAGTGGCCTGTGAAAAAACAACTTGTCGTTAAATGCAGCACTACATTGACACAAACTTACTTTACCAGTTCAATTTTGTTCCAAAAATGGTGAAACTTCGTCTCCAAAGACTTTCTGCTGGACCAGTTATCACCCAATGACATTGCTGTAGCCCTGTGCTTGATTAGGTGTTGCATGTCTTCCTGCAGCTGGTATCCCCACCATATCACATGCTCTGCCTCGTGCCATGAACAATTAATCAAATGCTCAAGCCTGGATCCAGATCAAATGTGTCACGTGATCAGATGTAGCGGTAATCAACATAAAGCCATGGTATACAGATGCATATCTGGGATGTGGCATTTAAAAGAATAAGGAAATCCCTTGCATTTTGAGGGTTTGAAGTGTCTGCAAAGCAAGCTGTGAAGAGTAGCTAGCACGTGGCAAATTCACAGTCAGTTGTACCTTGCACAAATATCTGCCATAGAGAAGTTCTAATCTATAGGCACATATACACAATTTTCAATTAGTCTTCAAAAATGCCCTCTTTTATTAATTCTAAAATTTTCTGAAGACACCGTTCAGTTTTTAGTATGCTTCCTCACCATCCTGAATACGTTCCACAAGTTTCTTGACCTGTTAAATTATTTGTTAGCAGTAAAGATCTCCTTAAAATGCATTTGTACGTGATGGCCAGTGCTGGAACACTTCTTTGTAGGCACAATAATGTAGCTGATTAATAACAGTAAAAAAATCAATGAAATCAGCTAGAATAAATAGATACCCACGTGAATGTTGGATGAAACTTTATGCTTTCACTTTTTTTTTTTTTTTAACTTGGAAATATCCATTTCAGGTATTTTAAAAAGGTCTAAGTACATATATTTTGAAAAATGAAAAAAATAAGGGTAAGGGACAAACAATATGGATTGGCAAAGCAGTAGAAGCAATACAGCAGTATGGCAGCTGCATGGTCTAAAATGGACTCGGGAATGCCTTCCAGATTTCACAGTAAACTATCATGTGACTATGACCTTTAAGATCTGATGTTCATGAGTCATTTATTCACTAATACCAATTTACACAGCAGAAAACAAAGCCCTGGGTGCAAAACATAACAAACAGTCGAAATTCATTAATGAATTCTAATGGAATTCGCTAAGATTAAGTGTTTTTCTTGTGATGATTCAGTATTTTCTCTTTTTTATGTTGAGAATTTTGTGAACTTGCATCAAATTTATCAACTTACTATTATTTTCAATTCATAACTGTCCATCGTCTCTCTGTCTAAGGATTTTTTGGTCATCAGCTTGCCAGTAGAACTGTTAATATGGAACATTCCAGCAAAATCATCTTGCAGAGAGTAGCTTATAAATGCGTTAACTCCTATATCCAGATCAGTAGCAGAAAATACGCCCAAGTCTAGACTAGCTGCGTTCTCAGGAGCTGATAGTTTAGTTTGAATCAATGTTGAGAAAACTGGAGGATTGTCATTGATGTCATTTACTCTCACAGTTACCTGTATTTAAAAAAAAAAAAAAAAAAAAAAAGAAAGAAAGAAAAAACAAGGGGGGGGGGGGCGGGGGGAAAGAGAGTCATATTTGAGCTGTAGAAACAGTATCCAAAGGAGAATTTTGATTCATCTTAGTCTATGGAAGCCTATAGGGAAAAAAAACCAAAAAAACAACCAAACAACAAGAACAACTAAAAACCCAACACAAAAACCAAAGGGATACATAACAATTTCAGCATTTTTTCAGCATTTGAGCATTTTCACAACTTCTGCATCTCAGCATTTTTTTTTTATTCTCAACTGTTACAAGTGAGATAACACAATACTCTAACAGGAAGAGATGAGCAAGATTAATAATCTGAGGCTTTTTGGCTCATCTACTTCATGCATTTGACAGAACTATGCACAGAATCAGTTTCAGTGTTAATCAGTTTCTCCGGTTATGGGTTGTTCACAGAGGAGCTCTCAGGAAGTGATGCAATTTGTGAAGCTGACAATATTTCAAGATGATAATATGTCCTCGGAAAAAAAAGGGACATTAAATAAAAGGCTCTCAAAATCCTCATGCTTGCATAACAGATGACACTTATCTGGATATTGCTTGACTTTTTAATATATTTTAAAAAATATTTTATATTCCTTTCTAAAAAAATATTTAAAAATGCAGTATACTGTACCAAAGCAACAGCTGTATTGGGTGGCACCACAGAATCAACAGCTTCTACAATGATGCTGTATAGGTCATCTTCTTCACGATCTAGCCTGGCAAGAGCCACAATCTCTCCTTGGTCGCTAACGGAGAACTTGTCGTTATGAGATTTCAGAGAGTACGCTACTTGTACGGCTATGCTTCCAGTCAGAGCCTTCACAGAGCCAACAGCAGTCCCAGCTGGTTCATCTTCTTGAATGCTGAACTCATAGCTGGAGCTATCGAAGGTCAGTCCGAAGCTAGTGTCGTTTACCAGCAAGTAGAGAGTAACAGAGGCTAATGAGAGAACACAAATTAAAACAGTGAGGTTGCTGCTAAAATAATCACCACCTCTGCTCTATTTCCCTGAATTTTGAGGAACTAATAGAAAATGATAGAAACCGGTATGTAGGAAAGAGGAATGAGAAGGAAAAGAATAAAATCAATAGTAATAATGATTAATGTGTAACACATTAATGTAAGACATGATGCCTTTTATGCCTAACTAATGTTCCAGAATAACCCCACTTCCCTGATGACAGCAGCGTCGCCTCAGTATGATAGGAGAGCAAGGATCACCAATTTGAAGTTAATGGGATATGCAGGTGTTTTCCACTAAAAATCTTAGGCCAAATTGCTTTGTACCAAAAGAGAAGGGATATACATAAAACCATCTGAGTGCAAATTCTGTCATGGCCACTCATCCTATTTTAAGAAAATCAGTTGTTTCTCCTGTTCATGGTAAATCAAAGCTAACCCCTAAAAATACATGAAAAAGTTACAGAAAATACCATGTGAATGACTGAATATTTTCTGAAAGAGCAGAAACTTGTTTGAGGGTTATTTGCCAGTTTCTGATTTGTTTAAACGTTTCTAATTCTAAGTAAAGAAAAACTGAAAGAGAATCACGTATTATCAATATTATTTTAATACAGCTTTTTAGAGTGGCTACTGCTATGAAGTCCTGGTTTTTGTACCATAAGCACCACTGCAAGAACTACAAAATTGTATTTCTAACCAGAATAATCAAACCAAGCTTTCTGTTAATGTGATCAGCTGGGAGGAAATCAGAGGGTAAAAAGCAAATATTCATCTTTGCTGAAATGTAACATGGATTCTAGCCCGAATTCATTTTGACTTGACAGCGATGGGATTAATTTCGTATTTCAGTGTTTGCAAAGGTTACATTTGGGGGTGGGGAAGGTGAAAAGACATCATTTACCATTTGATGTAAGCTGAGGAGCTCCATGATCAGCAGCAGTAACTATCAGTGTAAGAACTGTGTCAGCTGTGATATGGTCCAAGTTACTGCTGAGGGTGATTTCTCCAGTGTGGTTATTTATACGGAAATCATCAGAATGGCTCATGAGGCTGTATTAAAAAGAAATCAGTATAACATTCATATTAATGACATTGGAAGTACCATCTACTTACTGTTACTTCCGTAACAAGCACTCAACGGACAGTATTTGCCCGTTTACAAAGAATGGCTAAACAACAGGTTTTAGTTGCTGTATCATTAGCCTAAATATATATCGGCCTTTTTATTTCCAAGTATGTCTTCCATCATGAAAAGAGACAGCATTCATGCCTTCAGTTCCCATTATATCCCAAGCCTTTGATCTTCCCACGGATAGAAGGCAGATCCTGCACACTCAGCTGCATATTCAGCAATATAAGAAATTCAAGTGACGTTTGTCTGAAGACTGCAGACCTGCTAATTCCTAGTGTTCTGCAAACTCTCACAGGTAACTGGATTGCTCACAAGAACAATTAATGTGTTTAAAGTAGAATGCCATCTCATAGTTAAAAATATTCTCTTTCAAGACACTAGCTGTAAACACCCACAGTTTACCAACTCATTCACCTATCCTTCTCAATCTATACTTTTCACGTCAAGGTATCCTGGTATTTTCCATGATATAGGGCTCATCCAAAAATCTTTCGTGATTAATTTATTTATGCATAGTGCATTAGGAAAGTTAGTATTTCTTGATCTCCTCCTCCCAGCAAACAGAAGGTGTGTGAAAAGACAGTCATTCTTGGAGATTCGTTTAATTCCTCCTCAGAAACTCCAACACATTACATAAAATTTCAGAAATTCAAACAAATCTTGGCTTTCGGTTCTTGTTGCTAAGTTTATCATTTGATTGCACTCTCTTTCTTATGGTGTAATCACGATTTGATAAGCTCTAAAACACAGAGTAATGACTGTCTTTTTTCCTAAGTTTAAAAATCATTACTGATGATTGCACGTGTAAAATATCTATGAACAGGTCTTACCTTCCTACGACCAATAAAAATACTTTGTGAGAAATAAAAATACCCTTCTGCTTCTTTAACAAAAGATACTTATTAAGCTCACAGAAATTTACCTGTATGAAATGACAGAATTGTTGCCAAGGTCAGCGTCAGTAGCAGACACAGATAGTACAGACACTCCTTCTTTTGCTGTTGCTACACGTACACTGGCCGAGTATTGCGCTTTCGTAAACCGAGGGGGGTTATCATTCACATCTAATACTTGAATGCTGACATAGGTGAAATTCTGGCACGCGGCAGAAGAAAACCATGATTCAGAAAATGCACAGACACTTAAATTTATGAATAAAAGGAAGCTGCAAATAAAGAATAATGTGTTCCTCTCTATTACCTGCCTTTGAGGTACTCCGTTATCAGACGCCACCAACAGCAGCTCATACTTCTCTTTCGTTTCTCGGTCTACGTGGCCATTAACCAAAATGGTGCCATCCTAGAGAAGATAATACAGTTCACACACGGATCACTTTGATAACTCTTGTACACTGAATTCTCAAAAGAGATGAGGGATTGAAATCCTCTGTTCTCCTTTGGACAAATATAGTTCAGATTCCAAGCAACGCCTGACCAGTTTTCAGACATTGACGTATATTTCCAAACTGCAGAGCACGTGCTGGTTTTGGTTTCATGTGTACTAGAACGGTCACCGCCTACTCTTTTTACGTGATGGATCTTACTATGTCAAGTAACTTCATGAAAAGCAGTATCTAAATATCGTTTTTAGCAAATCCAAACCCTTACCTGTTGGATGCTATATGGATTATCCCCGTCCTCGGCTGATAAGTAGTAAGTAATTCGTGCATTCTCTCCCTCATCCAAATCAGTAGCAGTCACATGTCCAACTCTAGGAGGAGCACCCAATGTGTAATCTGCTTCCAGAATCGTAAAACTGTATGGCTGCATCCAAAACTCAGGGTTATGATCATTGACATCCAAAACAGTAATGTGAAACAAGGCACTTGAACTAAGCCCATTGGTTTCAGCATCAACTGCCCATACCTGCCAAAGTAAGAAACAAAAAAGGAATTTTAGTTGACTGTTCTGCCATTTTAACCATCTGATGAAGATACAAAAAAGGGTTCAAGGGAATGAAGTAGAAATGAGTCAAAGCTGCAGAGTGTGTCCCCAAATTTACTTGTAAAGTGTATCCAGATGTAGTCTCCCTGTCCAGTTCTCTGTCATTCCTTAATGAAAGTATTCCAGGGATATCCACAGTAAACAAAGTACTGTTATGAATAAAGTGTCCCTGAGAAAAGCCAGCCTAAAAAGAAAACAGTTCATTTAAGATTAAAATGATGAATATTCAAGTTAAAAAAAAAAAAATCTTATTACTATTAATACCTAGCATTTCTGTAGGACTTCTCGTTACAGAATTACAAGTGCTCTGCAAGGTTTAACAACCTTCTCTGATATAGCCAGTAAACTATTTTGTACAAGGTCTTAACTTGGTTAAGGAAGTTTTATTGCTGGCAAGATGAAGTTTGTGTGACCCAAAAGGTACTTATTGCCAACCATTTCAGAAATCTCCTTTTGCCCATCTACTGCTATGCTTTTTTGCAAATTAACAGAGAAAACTGTGCCATTTGGATTTATCAGGATGAGATTAATTTGGTACCTACCTCATCCTTGTCAGTAACACTGAAGGTGGAGACAGGACTACCCTTTTGCAGGTTTTCAAACACAAATATATTATAAACTGTCTGATTAAATTCTGGTGGGTTATCGTTGACATCTAGTACACGCACAACAACAAGTGTTGTAGCACTGAGACTTGGCTGCCCTCCATCTGATGCCTCCACTTCTACTTCAAATTGCTTTATGGTTTCATAATCCAGCTGCTGGCTCAGGCTGAGCTGGCCTGTGGTCAAATTGACAAGAAACGCTGGCAGGGAGGTTGGAGGTCGCTGGCTAACAATTCTGTACTTCACAAGAGCATTGGCCCCGGCATCCAAATCAGTAGCAGATACCGCCAGCAGTGCCCTTCCAAGCACTTCGTCTTCAGGGACGCTCACTTCGTATCTACTTGATGAGAAGACTGGAGGGTTGTCATTCACGTCGTCAATAATGACTGTCAAATTGAGAGCTGTAGACAGCACGGGTTGGCCTTGGTCACTGGCAATCACTGTTAAGTTATAGAGGCTTTGTGTTTCTCTGTCCAATTTCTTTTCCAGCAAAATTAATCCCGAGGTGTCAATATCCATTTTTCCTTCTCCACCTTTCAGAGTATAAACCACTAATCCATTAAAGCCCTGATCCACATCTGTAGCTGACACACTGGCAATACTAGTTCCAGCTTGCATGTTCTCCAGAATGGTAATGGTAGTGCTGGTTATACCAAACACAGGACTGTTATCATTGACATCTGTAACTTTGATAAACACTACAGCATAATCAGTAGCATTTCCATCTGACAAGGAAATATTTAGTATGTAATTATTCTGGGATTCATAGTCCAGTTTGGTTTTTGTCCAGATGATTCCGTTGACGTCGATGTCAAATGTAGCAGATTCCGTCAGTACTTGAAACATAACCGGTATATGGGGATTTAAAGACTCATACTCTACCTGTGGAAGATAGAGCATATTATCCATAAGTGAATTCAAACCAATAAACCACTGTCTGAAAAAGAATAATGGTTTTAACTATGTCTGAACCTATTTTACTAATTTTATTCATTAAAAGACATAAGAACCAAGCCACAATATATATAAAAATACAGCTGGAGAGGACTGCCTTTTATTGGAACATCACTAATACAGAAATGTGAATACGTATAATACATAATAAAATAGACTGCACTTTAACCTTTGGTTCTGCCTTTCTTTGTACGAAAAAAAGTAAAAAATTACTTGACTCAGGAAGTCAATAAATCAAAACACTAAAACACATTATCTTCTCACTGATTTGCTATCAGACCTCCCATCTGTCTTCAGAACTGCATCTAAGGAGCTACCACGGTGCATTCTGGTGGCCGTGCATTGTTTGTCAGTGCATTTTTCGATCAAAATGAGGAGCAAGTTCTAGAGCTGCCTTTGAAAATGCCTTTATGACAGTTCTCTGATGGGAAGTCTCCATTTCCCAGCTGTATCATGTCACAGGGTTTTAGATTTATCACCAACAGATGAGTGAACACTGCCTATCCTAGCCTTTGGGCCACTATAGACTTTGGAGAATGTCCAAAGTCAACAAAGGGCTAAGCATGAAAGTTTACTTTTGCAAGCAGCTCAGTTTATTTTGAGGGTTTTTTTGTTTGTTTGGGGTTTTTGTTGTTGTTGTTGGGTTTGGGCCTTTTTTAGTTTTTGTTTGGCTGTTTTTTTAATGTTAAATGGTAGCAGATGCCATTTAAAGATTTGCAATGGAAGAAACAGACTTAATGGGTCATAGGCTTCATCTGAGTCATGTGATCAGTATGTACTGCACGTGAAGCTTGATATGCAGAAAAGAAAACACAACATCTAGTTATCCCTAGCTCAGGGGGTTATAAACATTTAGAGCACATCTATTACAGGATTTTCTTACAGCTGTCATGTCCTATACAAGCGATAGAATAAAGTTGTTCTTACTCTTGCTACTTCAACAGGACTGACTAGCTCCTCTTCCACAGAAACATTATAGGTTTTCCGAATAAACTGTGGTCTGGAATCTCCAACTGCAGAGATTTGTACTGGCACTGATGAACTCCTTGGAATTGTCCCACCTGCAAGCAAAAGAAAACAACATCCCAGCAGATGCACGAAATACCTTCTGCTTAAACAAAAAATATACTTTTTCACTGGTACTGATTTTCTCTCTCTCTTTTTTTTTTTTTTTTTTTAAATCCTCACTGCTACTATTATGGCATTGCTGAGAGGTCCTAACCAAGACCAGAGTTTTGTGTATTGGGTGTTACACTTACAATATATGACCCTAATTACGACAACATTAGCACAGACAGACAAAGGATAGACTGATGAATCTCTTTTGTAACCGTATTCCCCCCAGTACCCGTTTTATCCACGAGGCCATAAATTTGAATACACAGAGCTCATATTGACCAAGTCAGTCGAAAATCAGGAGGCTGAAAAACACTGTATGCTCATGCTACCAGGAGCGGGATATCATTCCTACGTTACGTTTATCTCTGTCCTTATTCAGATCGTGAATGTTCACCGAGTTCGCTGTTATTCTTTTAAAACAAAGAAACCCTCAATAAATATGGCTAAGGAAATGACGTTTGTGCTGGTCATCCTAAAAATAGCTTTGGCATCTACATTTTAGTTTTTTCGATACCCACATGGGTGTGCAAACAAAGATGAAGTTACTCATCACATTTTACTTCCTGTTGACTGATGACTGAATTATAAATTCCTAGCTTGTACCTTAATCTCTGTATTCTATGCCGTGCAACACCAGTCAATAATTAAGTTAAAGGAAGGTGCGAGATGTATGTTATTTCGCACATTGTTCCCATAACCATAAAGAAAACTTAGATTTGATATAACAGCATCAGCAGAGATGCAGCAGTGACTTTGGATGAAAATGACAGCTTTCTCATCATCTTCAACAAACAAGAGCAGATAAAAATATATGGCATTTTTTAAATAAAGCCTGGGAACCTAATTTGACAGCATTTCTGCAAGTGAAAAACAAAACCAAAACTCATCACCAGGAATAGCTGTGTTGACCTGTAGTAAAATCTTGTCTTACCATCAACAGCTGTTATCCACAAGACAAAGTTCTTAAGCTGGTTGACTCCTAATGGGATTACTGTCTTTAAACTGATTTGTCCTGTGGATGTATCCAATTCAAAGTATCCATCTTCATTGCCACCAGCTAAGATAAAGCTTATCTCTCCATTTATACCGTCATCCGGATCATCAGCAGCAACCTGGAGAAAAAAAAAAGAAATATTACTCTAGTTTCTTGTGCTGTTTTTAAGTAACACAGAATTGCTTATTCTTGTGCAGTGTGCAGAGAAAATCATTGAGGTAGCAGATAATTAGGAATTAGTTGTGGGTTCCCCTCCCCCCCCCCCCCCCTTTTCCCCCCCCCCCCCTGCCCATTTACAGCAAATAATAGGTCTGGATAATTTTATATATATAAAAATCCACTAAATATAGCCACAGTAAAATTTGGTTATACCTTTGACTGACTGACTGTCTACTTCCTATACGATTCCTGGGTTAAGCCTCAGGAAGAATGTTTGCTCTTCGATGCACACACAATATCATTCCAGCAGCAAGACTGAAATCCTGCCCCTGTGGAGCTCACGTAAACGACACCAAGTTTGTATCTCAGAGAGCTTGTTTCATAGTGATTCCAAAGTCACTGGAGGTAGATTGTTCAAGAGATTACATCAGGAGCCATTAAATCAGTACACCTGGCTATGAGTTTTGATAGTGACTCTCTATATATCTCAGCTCCTGAAGCGATTTTTATCTTGGTTGCCTGTTTTATTTGGTTAACTGGTTTACTGTCTTACAAAAAGTATACCGTATCTGAAAATTACCAACAATGCTTCAGCATTCAGCAGCCTTTCAAAAATTTTTATGATTATTTAGATTTCTGGACTCTAACAACATTCAGTTTTCATTAAACACCTTACAACAACTAAATCCAAGAATCTTATTTTCTGTCTTATGTTTGTGGAATTCAGGATGGTGGCACAGCATCTAGGATCAAGAATAAAAATCCTTTATCATTTGTTCCCTGACCTGGGATACGATTAGAGCATCCAGGGCGCTGTGATTATGGAATATCAACAGGTGTAAGCTTTTAAATGAAAGGTAGATTGTTTCAAAACTCAGAGGAGTTCAAAGAAGATCCCCTATTCAATGGGATCACTACACAAGTTCAATACATTCAAGTCATTGAAATGTCATTTTTACTTAGTACTTCTAGTACCTGAAGAATGGGCTTTCCTGCAGTCATGTTGATGAAAACATCTTGTTTATATGGCGTGCCTCTAAAGGTTGGGCTGTTGTCATTTTCATCTAGCAACAATATGTTGATTGTAGAGTTTACCTCATCGTAACGTGGCAAATGATCTTTAGCAGTGACCTTTAAAAATGACGCAGTAAAATGATTGCTTTGTTCAAATGCATACTCTATAAGTAGCAAGACGAATGAATGACAATTACAAGCTGAGTAAACTGCATCACTAGCGATATTTCCCTCCAGACAGTCTGGATTTGATTCTTCAGATAAGCTGCTGATCCATGTCAGAGAGTCAGCTTCTTGCCAGGGCAGATCAGATATCAACCTGTTTGCCTCAGGTTGCTTTGGAAAGGAGTAGGCTTATTTTTATTACCTGTAGGTGAATAGATGGTATTCTCTCCCTATCCAACAGCGTGGAGTTCCTCACAGTTAGGATCCCAGTTTGACTTAGCTGGAAGGGACTGTCAGCTGGAGTGAGAATGAATGTTCCCTGGAAGCCTCCCTGCAGACAGTAATGATATTTGTTATTAAATAGGACAATCACTGAGCCAGTCCCTTAGGATATTTTCTTCTTATTTTCCAGGTGAAGAGCATTTAATTTTCTGGTTTAATTGAGGTTACAGTTCCAAAAAAAAAAAAAAAAAAAAAAAGGGAGAGGAGCAAACAACATGGAAGAAATATATCATGCCGGCTGAGAGCGACTTGCAGCTTTGTGAGCTTTGTGTCCATTTTGCACTTCTGCACTTTCATATTTGGGACCTTAACAAACCAGAGGAGTTTCAGAGACAGACAAAATTTATTCTTTGGCTGCAGTACTCTACCCCTTAAAGAAGTGAAATTAAGTTTGTTTTGCTTAAGCATATTTAGCTAGTGAGGAAAAAAAAAAAAAAATCTATAGCACTATTCACTATACCCATATAGCACAAATGCATTTGATACTATATTTCAGAAGTGCAGTATTTGTAGCAACCATAACAACATTGTCATTTTACCTCATCTTTGTCAATAGCTGTTACTTGAAGAACTTCCATTCCATTTGGGACATTTTCTAGAATTGAGACATTGTAACTTGATTGTGACAACACTGGAGGATTGTCATTCACATCTTCAACGGTAACCAGCACTGTTGCATCAGCTGTTTTGAAAATATTGTCTTGCTGACTTGCCTAGAAAAAGAGTTTGTAGCTGTAAATTCCATACCCTGATAACAGTGAGCCGTTCCAGCTTAACACAAGGACATGACATGACTGCATATATTCAGTGAACGAAGTTTTCCTTTATTTTGCATTTTAAATGGCAGGATGAGGCCTTGATACCGACCGCCCTTTAACACTACTATGAGAAATACCATTAACAGCAACATGGCTTCACATATTATTTTATGAAATTAAGACACGGTGTTAACCAACTGAACTCTCAAACAATCACTACCTGGATGCCCACAACAAGATACGGACATTCTTCTCTGTCAATTGCAGTCTTTACTTCCAACTCTCCAGTGTCTGCATTGATTGAAAAGGTGTTGCTATAGGCCGGGGGGTTCACTGAAAAGCAACAAATTGCAACGGGTTAATGAGAATGAACCAGAACAGTAAGTCCGATCTGTCCCCTTTTTATGACTTTTCTTCTCAGCCATAGCAAAAATGAACAGACATTCCCGATAAAAGGCTTTTTTTCGTACACTCTGTCCTCAAAACAATTCTTAGGAAATTTGCTCACACTTCAAGGGCCTCAAATTAAGCATTTCATGAGCTTTTAGCAATTCTGTCAGGAGGAGGAAAAGCTCCTGATGGAACTGATCTCTCTAGATGGTCCTGAAGGGAAATCCTTTGATCAAATGGAAGCCTTTAAGCTGACTTACACTTTGCATCAGGAATTGTTTGTTGGAGGGAGGTTAAGAACATCTAAACATTTTTAAAACAGTTGGACCCTGCTATAATGACTGAAATTAAGCCAATTTAGCTCACAGAACAGCACTGTAGTGAAGAGGTATGCAGTTAAGATATCTGACTGTACACTGCGCTTCCTTATCATTCTCTTCAGTAATACAGACGTCATAAATTACTGTGTGAATGTCTAGCAGAAGGTAAAGGCTCTTACCTAGTTTGATGCTGTAAACTACTTTTTCGTTTATACCTGTGTCTCCATCTTTAGCCAATATCTTCTCTGGGAGAATAGCCAGAGGACCCAACTAGAAAACATATATTAACTTGATTAACTTGAAAAAAATACACATAAACTTACAATTGTTCATTAAGTCAGTCACAGTTTTGATTAAAGAAACAAGAAACATGTATTTAATCGCTGGGGTCCAGAAAAAAATTCTCTCTCTGCCATATATGCTTTACAGAGGAAAACGATGACCAAAATACTTGATGGATACACTGTGTTTGAGAAACAGCAGACTATGAAGCACTAGTCACTGATGGAATGAATGTTAAGAACATTGAATATTTCAGTTCCATTCCTCTCCTGGAAAACAATATGCAAGTCTATGCTGCAGCCCTAATAAAAACAGTAATTTTTTAAAAGATAAAAACATTTTAGAAGGTCTAAAATTATTCCTTTCAGACACTTAAAGATGAACTTCTAACAAAAGGGACACTAAAAGTATAACACCAAAAGCATATGTGGTTTAAAATACACTAACTTGAAGATAATGATAAAGAAATAGGAATAATAAAGAAGATCATTAACTCTTTTCATTTGAGTCGATTACTCTGGTAATACTATACTGTGATTTTTTGGGTTTTTTGGTCAATACATAGAGAAGCCCGAGTTAAACAAATACATTCCACCCAGAAATTTCCACCCTATATAGAAAAAAAATACTACAATGTAATATAAACCACAGTTTACCATTCAGATTCTTATTTTGTTTACCTGATTGTAGTGAAGTATGAAGGAATTGCACTATTTAAAACTGAAACCAGGCAGCTAACTCCAGGACAGATAGGCAGTCAACTGCCCTTCCAAGTTTACAGTAAAAGCCCTGTTACAACACCGGTTTAGTTCTTTTTTTTCTTTTCTTTTCTTCCTCCAAACACAACAGAATCTGTTTCTGTAGCAGAAAGTTTTATGCTTCATATAATACGTGGCCTGTTTACCTGGTACTTGGAAGTCCACAGTTGATAACCTTACAATTCACCAGTTAGCACAAAACAAAGCAGCCCTCCATCTTAAGCTGCTCAGTGATGAAGAACCCTTGAAAGAAAAGCACTGTGGACAGGAATAACCTATTTATATTTGCAGCAGTCAGTTGAAAAGCTTTTACCTGGTTTTCACTGATTTTTCCATTGTATACTGATTGACTGAAATAGGGGTTCAATGTATCATAATCTTCTACATTAATTAGTAACGATGCAGTATCACTGTTGTTTCCAAATTTCTCCTGCATCCCAAGAGAAGGAAGAAAATAAGAAACATTGTCATGAAAGAGCCATTTCTCAGTGGAAAATACAGCAGAATATTATTATGTGTGCTTTGTAGCATCTAAGCATTTTTAACTGGAGAACTCTCACCCTGTCAGATTTTTCGATTTCTAGAAATCCAGTTCTAGGAATAATACTATCAAAAGGGAATTGTTCTTAGTTATTTATTTTATATCAGGCAGGTGTTACACAGTAGAACGTAGAATGTAGCAACAGTACATTTGCTGCACCTGTACTATTTGCTAGATACCACAATAAGCGTGGCAAAATTACTTCTTTTTAGTTCTAAACGGAATTGAAGGCAAGTATATATTCAAATCTCAATAAAGACACACAAAAAGACTGCAGGTGGTACGATGCAGCAAAAATAGGATAGAGATCCACCAGAATGAATAGGTGAATATATGCTAGAATAGTGGAGAATAAATATGTACAATATACATACTTAAAGAAATACACACAGAGAGAAACTTGGGCTGGTATTTGAGGGGACACTTAAACAACGGCTCAAATACTAAGACTGCACTACTTTGTCTGCGGCATAAGCCAAGATGCAGACACAAGTTTTGGCTTGGGTACTCCCTAAGCTGTAAATTCATAGAAACTGGGATGTCATAACAAAGGAAGTATCGTTGTAGAACTATCGTGGCTTTCATCCTTCTTTTCATGTATATCATACCTTTGCTTGGACTGTTAAGTTGAAAAGTTTGACCTTGTTGTAATCAAATGTTTTGTTCACCATGATGTTTCCATCTCCTTCCCTTATATAAAAGTAATCGGAGTTTGGACCCTATTAAATGAATAAATCACATATTTTACATGATTAACAATGAAATACATTTTCTTTTCTCTTACTACCTCTATTATGGGACTATTCTTCATAAAGGACCAGGAATCTCTCAAACACCATCACTGGAAAGGAAAACGCTGATCCTCTCCCACGCATTCTATTGCCTTTCCCACCAGTGCCATCAGACTTTCTATCGGATTTATCTCAGCCTATGGTGAATAACTAAAGCAGATCAGATGAATGGCATCAGCTTCCCTTCGCCAGCTATAAAAGCAGCAGAGACAGCAAGCTCAGACGTGAAGATCGCCACGGCAGATATCTATAGTTGAAATAATCTTACTTCAGGTGGCTTAGATGTACACCTCAGCAGAACTGGAAATCAACAGCAAATCAAATATGAACTTTAAGAAGAGGGGAAACTGTTTCACTCCTGCTGCTAAAAAGGACCACTGAGTTCCTTAGCTGTAGCTGAAGAGTGCCACAAAACACTTCATAAACATTAAGAAACAAGATTCAGGGCTCACCGCATGCTAGGCTGATCCTGTGGTGTAAGTTCTAATTTTAAATGTTTTTTCTGATGCTAGCATTTTGCAGATTTATAATGATAACCGCACAGTGCAAGATAGCATACTCGAATCAGGTCCCAGGCTGTATTTCATGTGAAATGTAGACTGGTGTTCACAGTCTCTGACAAAGGGCACTCACCCAAAGTCTGTAAGTAATGACGCTGAAGAAAGGTGAAAAATCTTTATCCAGAGCTTCCACTTTTATAACCGTGGCATTTATTGGAGACACCTGAAGGAAATAAAGATCATCAAATGCTCAGTCACAAGCCCCTTTTGGTATCCCTCCTAACTTCTGGCAGGAAAGCTGTGCCACCTCCTTAGTATATGCAAATTACTTCCAATTTCCATTTTAGGTCGGAGAGCCGAATGTTTCTTCTTCGTCCCATGCCTCCAGCTGTACATGCAGCCCAGACATTTCCACACCCACGCGAAGGTGTAGAAAAGTCCCATAAGAGTGCGTATACTGATCTAATATGAGTGTGGTCACATTAGAACCTCATATGTTTCGGCCCCAGAAAGTAAGTTAAAAATATCACAAGAAAAAACATTAACATTTGCCATAACCTACCTCTGATACTGAAGTGCTATAGTGAGCTTGTAGAAATTGTGGAGAATGGTCATTTACATCGTCCAAGACTAAGTCCCGTGCGTTCTCTATCGCGTTAGTCTTCATAAGGGAAGCAAAAAACATGTTAGAGATGACAGCAGTGAGGTAGCAGCATACTGCTAACATTTAATTTCATCATATAAAATGAGATCTTCAGAGAGGCACCTCTTCAGTTCTAAAAACTGTAACTGGAGAGTTAAACTACCATTTCTAATAATAGAGTAGAAAGTTTGTGAAGATATTTTAAAATTAACTTTTAAAAATTTACCTTAGGTTTTCTGTGAACAAAAACACTCGTTCCAATTGGCACATTCAAACAAATATATCTTTTACAAGGTACTCTTAACCCCCTGCATCGTATCTTTAAATGAAATAGTATTTCAGAAAATAATAATAATTTGCATTAAACTTAGACAAAAAAAATACGGTTCATAAAACATGTCTTTTACTTACAGTTCCAATCCTTTGGCAAACAACAGCATAAAAGAGATGGTTATTCTAAAAATTAACAAACAAGCAAATAAATAATATTATCTACAAACTCCTAATATGATTGTCAAAGAATGATTATGTCAAAATTATACAAAACAACTTCTGATACTTGAATCCTCAGGTGTGCCATGCTGAGTTGACAGTGAATTGTTCACCTGATTCAGTTACAGGAGCATACTTCAGCTATTTTTGCCATGTCAATGTGTTGTACCAAAACACACTGCTTAGAAGACATAGCAAAGTCATTACAGATTATTAATTGTAAACTTTATTTGGCTGCCATTCATCTACTGCTGGTATCTACCCACCCAGATCCCACCATCTGTGTACCCGACTGTTCTCCCCGATAAAAAATTAACAGAGAATGGGAGAATATGCGTAAGCAGCATAAAAAGTGTTTTAAGCCGTTTAGTAAATATCCAAATGAGAAATGTGAATGTAAAAAATTGTAAATACATTTTCTTCTATTAGAAGTCTTGATTGTAACAGTGTTTTTTAAAATATGTACAGTTCAATTCAGTCAAGTACACTGCTACTCTGAAATAGTACTTGTATAAAAAAAAAAAAATCACCTCCACTTACTCTGTAGAGCTACACCAATTTCATATTCAGAGGCAACTGCAGCCAGGAAAAACATTAATATTGCTTTATGGATTCCTGGCAGTCCTACAGAGCAAGAATGGCCTAGGAAGAAGGACCTATCCTTTTGTGCATCAACCTACAGCAGCCAGTGGATCTATTTGTGGGTGAAGTTAAGCACTTGTATAAATATTCATATGATTAAGGATTGCCTTCTACCAAACTATATCTGATCAATCTCACTTTGAGGAAATAATTCATGTTACCGAGAGATAAGTTTTAGGAAAAGTGACACCTATCATAGCTGCGTATTTACAGCTTTCATTACAAGTGACAATACGTGATTAGAGAAGAACCTGTCTGACTGTCAGATCCCAGATAAGTTTACAGTTACAGAAAACTGAAGACATCTAACAGATATTACTGAGTAGTAGATACTGAAGTCTATGCTGCTCTTTCTGATGAGTCACTTTTTTGGAATACCAACCTGTATCATGAGGGAATGAACAATTAAGATTTTCATCTGTCAATAAACCCTTTATATCTAGGTTTTACAGGCAGTGAAAAGAATACCTCAATAGAATCGACATCCAGTGGCTTATGAGTCCGCACTGTTGCATTATTAGATCCAGAAATATATACTAGCTCCACATACGGTACGTGTTCAGGGAACAGATATTCTTTTAATTGCAAATTCACATTGGGTGGGATATTTGTAATCCATTCTATATCGCCTGTAAGAGAGAGCATAATAAATTAGATTGCCTTATGGAAAAGAAATCCATAGGTTCATTTCACATGTATTGACAACTAGATTACTGGTTACCTTTTGGATAACTTTTATATTATTTTGGCATTTTGAGCTAAACAATGAGATCTGTTAAAGTCCCCTTAAGTGCTGTGCGCAAGTGTATCGATAGGTTTTTAAAACCACATAAACTCACTTTTTCCAATATATTCACACTCTGTAACAATACGTCCAGAATTACAAAGCTTGGCATAATTTAGACCTAAATTACCACCATTTTCTGGAAACAGCTTTATGCTGCAAAACTTTTTTCACATTTAGTGTGAAAATGTAATCAAAGTGTAATCAAACTCAGGGAATGTAATCAAAATCAGCAAGAGGCTGATTTTGGGCTGCATGGGAGGAGATTCAGTATTTTCCAAACACAAGGGCATTTCCTATCTCTTGGTTGAATCTATCAAGCAGGTAGAATCCAATTGAATCTAGATTCAGGCTTGTGGTTGTTTAAATTTTGATTTTGGCCCAGAATGGTAAGCGTATGGCCCCTCCTTTAACCTGTTGCTATATGTACAGAATACTGAAACACAAAACAATGCAACCTTTGAATTTGAACGTGATTTTCTACAACCGTGCATTTAGGAGCCATTGTCTTGAAAATATTAAAACTTGTTATTTGTAATTATCGTGATTCATATTAGACTCATTATCATTTCAGTAATAAGTTTAGTACTTGCTTGGTTAAACACCAAATCTGTGTTTGAAAGGTATCCTTTTAAACCACCCAGTGCAGTGCTATCGGCAGTTTTATTAAATAGCTTAAAGTTACCTTACTCACATTATCAAGATATTTGTGTTTATGAAATAATACTTGTCTTCTCATGGAATACATTATCTGGATTGCAAACCCATAATCCCCTCTCCCCTCCAAAGCCTTTCCTGAACATCCCAAATATTTTCCATGATCTTGCTAGCTGTGTTTCTTTCTTACTCCATTATTTTTGTACTCCATCATGACTAATTTAGGCTAGTAAACCCTTTCTGTGACAGCCCCATCTCTAATCCCCACATGCAGACTCTTGGTCTTGGTCTCCAACGGCCTAAAGGAAAGGAACCTTGTTTTCTTCCAACAGCAGGGAGTGTCTGGAATGCTGACAGCTACCAGCCCAAAGATACTATAATTGCGTGTAAGGAGAAAGTCCAAACAGATGGCAGCAAGCACAGAACAACTGGGCTGTGTCCCAGGGGCACAGCGTTGTGTGACACCACGCTGTTTAGTGTGCAGCGTTGAAACTGTTGGAAGAAAGCGTTCTAGGAAAACAAAATCTATCTTTGCCTGCTGATATACCGTCTCCATCCAGAGTTGGATATATTCAGACAAGAAATATCAAGCAGCTGCCTAGGAAATAGTATTCTGTCCAGCAGAGCCTGAGAAAAAGGAAGCGCTTGGAAAAATTGAAGCTGGTTGTCCCTCTTGCTTAGTCATTACGGATATGTCAGCAGGTACACTCATACATATGACGCAAAGGGCCAGACTTCATGCTAGTCGCTTAAAAGTTAAATGAAGAGGAATCAGGGTGAAAGGCGATTCTTTTCCTTTCTATCTCCATGCAAGAGTCCGACACAGCAGCTTTGAAAGAAATGTTTCAACAGTGGCTGGGAAAAACCACTGCTCTGTATTGTACCTGTTTTCTGTATCTTGCTGAAAGCCAGAAGCAATGAACGTTGCCTGTGGACAGTCAGCATGGGCCTGGTGCACGCTTCCGTGAGATCCTAAGGGTTATGACATACCCTGAAGGGAATGTTTTGGCCATAACCTAATGCTTTGCCTTGTGAGATCGCTGTATATCCGTTAGGCAAGTCAGATCCCGACTGAGGGGCTGCCTCTAACAGACAGCGTAGTCACAGACAACAGCCCTACCCTTTAGCTAACAACAGTAACCTCTCTGGTTAGCAGTATGAGGAAAGGAGGATGGAGCTATCCTCTGTACTGCATTTGCAATGTAAATGCAAAAAAAACAAACAAAAAAAGTACTGTCTACTCTTCTGCACTGTGCTCTCTTGCAGTCACTGTACTTCCCTCAGTGTGGGGTTTTGTCTCCAAGGCACAGTCACGCTTTGCCAGCTAAGCTAAGGAAGCATAGAAAATGTGCGGACAAATTAACGTTAACCCTGTCAGGTTGCACAAATTAAATAATCATCAGAATAATACAGAGTGTGCTACACTAACAAAGAAAACTAGAATAGAAAATGCAAATACACCCAGTGGCCAGCATTGATCCTGTAATTCCCTGTACTGCAAGTCTGCTTGCTCCTCCGCACCCCATCTGCTCTCCCTACTGCCCCAACAAAACCAGAAATTGGCTTTCCGAGAGGCTCCAGTCTGAAGCAGAGCAGGGCTGTGGTGGCAGCGGTTCCTTCTGATGTAGGAGGAAAGGAAGAGAGCAGCTCTTGTGGGCTGACTGGACAAGGTGAGCTGCAAACATCAGTTTTTCCCTACTTGTTTCCTTTCCCTTTGCCTGCTCTGTCGATTCAGACAGTGAGATCCTTGGATCATGGAACTCTGGTTTTTATATTTATTTATTCTACTAAGCAGTATGGCATGTAGGCAGCTGCTGCATCCAGCCATGAAGACTACCGTAAATCAATCAATAATACAGATTCGTTATAAAATATGTCAACTATGTGAAACATTGAAGTACTATGCACATTAGGGACCAAATCGGACAATTCCAGGATAAAATCATGATTTTACCTGTGTATTCATCCAAAAAGCCTGACAGCATGAGTGGGTTGGGTGTTGTGTCACAATTTATAGTTGTGGTTCCTAAAAAGAAAAGGAAAAGTCATGTACAAATGACACAGAGGGACTATTTCCAGAAATAGTACATGGTAAAAAAAGCTTATGCTATATAAAACCAGATCCACACACTAGTTCAAATTAAGCTGAAAGACATTGGTCATGGTGGCACCTTGACATAAGTTTCAGGGTTTAAAACAATACAACATTACACAGAGTAGGTAAACAGCGGTGTCTTGCCCCAAAAAATTCTACAATGAAGAACTTCACAACTTAAAAAGCATCTGTCAAAAAAGGATAAGAAAATGTCTAGCTACAGAATTGTCCTTCCTTTGTACCCTGACCGGACTGAAACTTGGGCTTTATTGCCCGACAACAACGAATCACTCTTATTTAATTTCCGGCTGAACTCGTGGAAATCATAACCGAAACTGCTTTTGTACCCTGGCCTTGCAAATGCTTTCTACTCCCAAGAAAACTATAAACACAAAGCAATTCACCATTTAAACGTTAGCAAGAATCCAAGCGCTGAGGGTAAAGGCACATTGACAGATTTATCTGAAATTTATTCTCCTTAAACTTTTCTAGAAGTTGGCACTTTTGAAGTACAGGTTTTTTCCTGAGAAGTGGCTTTCTTAAGTGGTTTATTGTACCTCAGTGACCTCTCTCTACATTTTCTCTGTATGATAAAAAGGGACAGACTTTTTTTTTCTAGATCTGCAAACTATACACACAGAAATCCAGAAGTCTACCAGATTTTTTTCCTCCTTCCCTGACCAGAATTACTCAGCAAAGCTGCCATACTGCAATCTACACTTTTACGGATACCTGTACAAGTTTTGTGGTCTTATATGGGTTTGCACCCATGGTAAGAGTGTCCCCACTCTCCTCCTTGCCACCCTGACTGTATATTCAAAGCGTTATTTGGTAAAAGAAGTAGTGGGCTGGTTTTGCCTGGCTAGGCAGATGCTTCATATTTGCACCACTCCATAGGATCTCATTTAAAAGCGAGCAGCGGGCAGACTTCTACGCAGGTAACTGAACAGAACCCTAGAGTACTTCTACAGTCAGCAGCTGGGTCTAATTCGCTGCCTCCATCTCTGGGTATTCAAAAGCCTACTTTAGAAAGCAGGGCTCTAGACTGCCGAAAAAGATCAAAAACCTGGAAGCTTGGAAGTGGTTGGAACGTTACATTGCAGTTACACAACATAAATTTAATAATTAAATAAAAACTCTTGTTGCTTTTTTCCCCCAAACAAAAAGTTTCCCTCAGCCATTCCTGGAGATCCTCTGGAGCTATCAGAAACAAAGGAAGGACACTTGAGCATTTTCACTGTCGTGAAGGTTTCTCTAGGAAGACTGAAGGACCCAAATTATATTAAGACCTCAAGTTTAGGTACACAGACACT